CCTGGCGCTTTCCCTGTGCTAGCAGCGGCGCCCATCGCCCCTGGCAGTCAGTGAGTTCAGTGCATGACACTGGCGGAAAACAGATGGTAACACCGCAAAGTAACGGGTAATGTAATTACAAAAGTAGTTGCAGGGACCACTACAATGTTCTACTCTGTTAGGAGAGTTAAATTTCCATGGATAACTCAGCAAAATTAGTGTTCAGCATTATTTTGTCATGTCCCTTGTAAAGTTTCTGAATACCTTTTAAAGCAGCTACTCACCTTGTCCTCATAACATTTCATTTTCAGCAATTAACTTCTCTTAAAAAAAAAATGACCTGAGACCATCTGCAAAAAAGTTTGCATTTTTGTGAAATATATCAACTCTCATAGGTCAATTTATTCAGAGTTACAAATTTCATTGAGAATAAAAGATTTATGCATTTCTCTTAATTAACAGAACAAGTTTAGCTAAATATAAACTCTGCACTAAAGTTTTGCAGTGGCACAATACCAACACAGAATACAGAAGCATCTTTAAACTATACAAAATTTTAAAATTGAAAATAATCCTGTTTACATATTCTTTATACATTAACATATAAAAGACCTCATTTAATGAGGCATCTAAAAGAATCAAAAACATCTCTACAGCTATCTCTGAAAATCCATATCTGGAAACAATTCATTACACAGAAGCTTTACAAGACTATTTAAACAAACCAATACACACTTTTTACAAGATTAACATTCCAAAAGGTACTCATAGGCAGGTTGTCACTTTTTATTTTTGCAGTTTACCTCACTGGTTATCTTTACTGGTTATCCAACAATACCCAACACGTATAAATATGAAGATTTTTATAAGTAATCTAATTTAAAAGTTGTGCAAAACAAACAAAAATTTGGAAAACCACTATGTTTAACCAGTCATTTATATAAAATACCAACAAAAGCACTTCTTTCACCCCGTGTGAAGGGAGAAAGCCACAACCAATCTCTTTCTGGAAGGTCATCAGTTACATTTTTATATTCCTTCATGAGACTCCTTCTATAAGTTATGATAAATTAAGAGTTCCAACATGACACTGACTGATCGATAGACCTGCCCAACATCCTCAAGCTTACAGCTTCTGTCTGCTGTCCCTACTCTGCTGCTTCTTTAGATCAGGAACACTCAGCCCGCGTTGGCACCAGGCTACCTGTGGGCTGAAATGGCAACTCTCAACACCCACACAGAAGCGTAGCTTCACATAACAAAGACCTGCCATGTGGCTACTAACTCGAGCCATTTCCTCTTCATCACCCCTAACATACCAGGAGAGCCAACAGCAAGAGGTGGGCACAATTCATCTGAACTTTTAAAAACTAAGTTCAAATTATATGAAATTTTATTACAATAAATGCAATTACTAAGAGATTACCAGTTAGCAAAACTACTGTATGTGAATAGCAAATGGAGAAATCTAATGTAACGCTGGCCAGTAATGCTGGTTTTCTTAAGAAGCAGTTATAATATATTTAAAAGGGTCCTTTCTCAGAGGTTTTCTTTTCCCTTATCTTCTGGCAGTTAGGATATTTGGTGAAGCCTATATAAAGGAAGAGGGTTATTCCAGAACTACTTGCTGTATGCTCGAATGAAAATTTTCAGTCTCTGTTGGTGTTATTAGCTGCAAAAGCATGTAAATTTCCCATCTGGCTCAGACCACTCTGAATATGTGCAACATGGATCTCAACGTTATTCTGAAAACAACTACAGGAAGAAAAAAAAAAAAAAAAAAGAAGCATTAAACTCCATATTTAAGAGTTGTGTCTGAATATTTCTACAGTGAAAGCCAAAGTACGAACATAGCCAGCACAAAAATTCAGATAAAACAGTCATACCACACCAGTGCAACACGATAGACACAGATGTGAAAATAGCATTTGCACAAACAGCTGCCTGAAATCAAGAGTTACTGACTTGGGTACTTTAAAGAAGACTTTACCATGACCAGAGTCAACGAAATAATATTATGAAGAGATGCTAAAGCGCCCCAAAGTAAGTACAGTGAAGTGGAAACATCATCACCTTCTTCACAGTGTACATGAACCTTTAGTTGAATCCATTCCAACGTGCAATTTGCAGTGTTGATTATAGGGAAGTTTCACTAATGTTTGGGGTTTATTTTGGTTTTACTAATGAAAAATGCCATAAACCAGCATTTCTCAATAATTACTTTTAAATCAAAAGGCCATCCTACTATTTTTGCAAAAAAGAAAAGAAAAAAATTCACGTGTGCAGCCTCCTGTTATTATGTAGCAATACGAGTATGGAGGGTATAAGGAAATATTTAGCATTTAGGTTTATTTCCTAAATTATGTAATTTAGCAGCATTGTAAAAATAAAAAAAAGTCCTGGTCACAAATTGGTGGAGGCTGCAGTGTACTCCAGACAAGTATCACCACATTCTTGCTGTCACTACATTCTTGCTATTTTTATAAAGCTTCCTCAGGCACCTGCTTGTGACAACTGTTGAAAAATGGCCCATCTAGACTAGATGGGCCTTTGATCTGGCACACTATAGCTGCTCTTCTGTTTCTTGGTTTAAAATACTGCTAATGGAAGCTGGTCAGAAGCTGTAATTGTCTCATATGCCAGCTTTTGATATTTACAGACAAGAGGTTGAGTAGCTATGCAAAAAGAATACTGAAATTGTAATGTTCTGTGGCTTAAAGAACTTGTATTTGTTAGTGGGATTTCAAAGTCTGAAAGGGTTCTAAAATAACTCGTTAGTTGTCACAAATGACTGAAGAGCAAGGAAGTCTAGTTGCTGCTGCATCAATTTAGCACTTTTTTTTTTTTTCCAGTCAGGTTACCTCACTGATAGGTTCAAACAGAAAAGTGCTAATGTCACTCTCCCTTTAAGAAGTCCCCTTTTAAATGGGACCATTCCTATAAGTAAAAGTCACCAGATTAAAACCCTTAATTATAATCAATGTTCACCTCTAAAATACAGTAAGAATTGCTTGCTGGCACAAAATGTGTAATTAAGAATTAAATATTCAAAAAGTAATACCTGATATTTGAGGAGTCTATTGAATTCTTAATGTCATTTAATGAATCTGTTAGTGATTTAAATTCAAAGGAATTCAGATCACCTCCTTCTGCTAGACACTGTAGGAGAAGAAAACAAAAAGTATTCTTCAGTTCAGCACAAAGAAACTGACAGAGCTTTAATACTACGTATTTTATGGGAGAAACTATTTTTTGCAAACGTTTTACCTTAATTTGCAGTAATATTGCTGTAAGTCTAGAGATAAGATCAGTTAATTTTTCACTCTCAACACAAAGCTGTCCTGTTGTCGAGGAATTTGCTTGCCTGACGATCTCCTGAGCCTCCTCTTCACACCTACGCCTCAGATCTGTCGGTTGGTCAGCAGGCTGGAGGCCCTGGTCAGGAGCAAGCTCCATAGATATAATGAAGAGAAATTAAGAATAAAGATCTCCTTTGCATTTGGTGTATGTGTGAAGTGACAAATGATTTCAAAGAGAGTTCGCAGGTATATAGTACACAGTATTTTTTCTTAATTTATATAAATATATGTCTATTTCAAAACTGGCCACTGGCATCTGCAAAAGTGCCTGCATTCTGGTAAAAGACACAGAGACAGACAAAGGCAGAGACAGAGGGAGAGCAGGAATCCAGTGCAGCTACTGCCAGTTTAATTTCAAAGTGACCCCCGCCTACACCCTATTCCCAGAAAATTTTTTTTTGTACTTAGGTTAAGCAAAACCAACAAGTACATACAGATTCCAGCAGAATCTTACCTCATAGCAATACTGTTGAACTTTATGCAAAACTTTATTTAAGTCTTTGTTTAGTTGTTCTAGATCTAGAACAATAGTTGCGTATCTCCTCTGAAACTCAATGCCTATTGGCATAGAATAGGATTTCTGCAGAAAAGACAAAGAATATTAAAGTTAATGCAATACTGTACATTTGCATCTTTTGAACTCACCAAAAGGAATTTTCACTTGAAAATACTGAGATATTTGAAATCCCAGTGTTTAATAGAAAAATCTTAACATACAAAATATTAAAATGTAGCATTGCTCTTTAGAACTCCAAGTGACAACTGTGCAGTAACTACCATGCTTTTATTCTCTTCATAAAGTGCTATAATAATCTGTGGTGGTAAATGCTACAGAAGATGACTGTGGTCTGACCTGCTTATTTCTCCAGTATTTGGCTATGTCTTCTCTCTGCTGTATGAACAGAAAACTATGCTGTCAGTGGGAGAACAGTATAGGACAAAATGGCCATGACCACCTCTGCTGCAGGATGGGAGGCACAGTTGTCTACCAAGTTAGTGGTCACTTGAGGATGACTCAGTGCTACATAACTTCTGTTACAGCTAACAGTTCTGCCAAAAAAGAAAGTTACTAGAGCTTATATTTGGTACCATAAGTATTTTGGGTGAGCACAGTTTTCTACAAAAAATAAAAAAAGTACTGTATTCTGGTATTTTTTCTTTCACTGTTTTCAGGATGTCTCTCGACACTGTTTGGGTGGTATTTACAAAATTGAAGCAAAACATACAATATATTACAAAATTTCATCCACAAATGGCCTCTTGCAAGATAAGCTGCGTGTATTTCCACTTCTCAGCCACAAGCCTGAGATACAGGTACCTCACACAATCAAACCTGTTGCTATAGATTTTACACCATGAGATAAAGCAAATTGCAAAGTCAAGAGCCTTTATCAGGAGGATCCAGGTTCAAGGTTTCAGTTACCAGTTCAGTTCAAAGTTCTACATTAAACTTAATCATTGAAATGATCTCCAGGGATTTACAAGTCTGAATACCAAATTAATAGGGCTTTAAACTAAGACCATAACTTCGGCATTCACCTAAGAGCAAACTGGAAACCAGCATAAATTTGATATACTTCTTGCAGCTCTGGAACATAAGGAAAAAGTTGTAACTTTCAGACTTCCTTTGGTGATCAGCCCCTCTAGAGCAGACTAAGCCAGGTTAGCTGTGAAAGCCGCAAATAAAATTGTGAATTGCCCATCAGAGAGGAAAAGCTAAGGGCATTCTATGCCAGTGATGACAAAAGAAATACTTCTCAGCACCAGCACTATTTCTGATCAGGGAGCAATCCAAGATCTGGAAACGCTGATAAACAGCTGAACTGGCAGACAAAAGATGGACAGCTTTCAGTAGATGGAAGCAGATAACATCTCTGTCACTAAGCATCTACATGCTTCTCTGGAATGACCAGTATCACCTTTACCTTGTTTTTATTGCACATTAAATGAAAAAAAATGAACTAGCCATCCTTTTTATTCAGATTTGTTTATCAAGATGGCTATCAGAAAAGCATTTACTGTTTCATGTACACAGTAACTTGTTTATAGCCTGCAACCAAGATTAGTACAGCGATGTCAAGATGCTTAACTATTAATAAGCTGTCCTTTCAGAAAAATGAAAATGTGCAGTAGTATGTATTAATAGCTCCTCTGAAGGCATCCCCTGCCTCATGTTAATTTATTTTTATTGCCAGATAATAATGGACTACATTCAGTACTGGTTCTGATTTTGGTCAGTTCTGTTTATTTCTATATTAGATCGGTCATTAAAAAAAGTCTCCGTAGAAGGACTGCTTTAAACCAGACAGTGGTGTTACTCTAACAATTATCAAATCACAATTGTATGAATTATTATCAAAGTCTGACAATTAAACTATATCCAAATGAACTCAAAGGATTCTATTTTATTCGTGTTCACGTATGTTACTGATGTTCAAGTGGATTGGTGCTGGAAAAAGATTCTTATTCAAAGAAAATACATTTTAAAGGAGAAACAACGTACACTCAGCAGCAAAAACGTAGATGGGATTGCTGAGGGACAAAGAGGATTAGAAGACAGGCTAAGAATATGGCCCAATAGAAAGGTATCACATCCTCTATTTTTATCAGGACAGCCTTGAATAGTAACGGAGATTGCTTTACGATTGCTGGTTTACAAAGGCAACATCACAAGGGAAGAATTTCAGAAGTATCTCAAAGTCCTTTGCTAGGCTACAACTGAGCTAAAATATATCAAACAACATTTATTCTAGATCCCCTTCTTCTCTGTTATTCTTTGCTCTCTCAATTTTGTTATTTTCTTTGGTATTCTCATTCCACAATACAGGTAATTTATGACTTAATAGATGAGTGACATGTTAATATCTGGATTCTTGTCAGAGGAAGGCTACTGTCATTCCTATAGATTTCCTTATCTATGCAGAAGTACGAATATCTCAGTAAAAACAAAAAGGTTTTTTAGTTTGTTTTAAGAAGAGTGGGTAATTCTTCAGTATCAGAGTTACAGGTTGCCATGATAGGTTTTAATCTTGCTTCTTTTTGCATCTATTTTAATTATTAATACACAAATTCAAAAGACAAAACGTGATGCACAGTAGTAACTGAAACGATAACAAGGTTTTGAAGAGCAGCAGCACAGCACAGAAGAAAACTACAGAGGCATAGGGATGGGGCAATAGGAAGCAGAATAACAGAACATACAGGTACACATGATCACTGAAGGGATAAGGAGGGAAATCTTACCACAATAAATCAAATCCTTCAACGTTAAAATATTTCACATGAAAAAAAAAACCAACCAGCACTTTCAGTTTCAAGAAATAAAAAGGACTCCTCTTCCTCTCCATAAACCTTTAGCCTTTTGTCTGTACATTGTAGACACAACTGTCTGGATGGATGCTAGCAGAAGGTTGAGACTGATAGCTTTCCACTTTCAAGTTGATTGATAGCCATGGGTGGTAGAAGAGGCGTTCTTATAATTTTGATTTACTGACTGATGATTAGATAAAGCCTAGCAAGAAAAACTATTCTGCTGCTGCTAATTATGCAGTAGCCGCTCTGGTATTGTAATTTTAAACACTGGTCAAGGGCACTCAGAGCTTTATATAGAAAATCTCTGAACTGAGTTATTGTTTTAGTCAGAAAGCTAATAAATAGATTTATTTTGTGGATGGTAGGTATTTGTGATGAATGTATTGCCATGTAAACGTGTACCCAAGATTCTCAAAGTACACAGTATTTCCTTAGTTTATGTGTCAACTGACATATGCTATTCCAATGTTAACATTAATCAGTTTCCAAAGCATAATGCTTTCAAAGAAGAATCATATTTGAAACAACTGACCTCTCTGACTTGTCTTAAAAAGAGAAATAAAAAAATTTCACATTATAGAGCGACAAAATATAGATTTTATCTAGACTCTATTTTAATTGTATCCATTTGCATTAGCTGTTAAAGCACATCCTGTTTTAAGAACTGAAAAGAGAACATTCTCACCAGCTTTTCTGCTTCTGTATTCATCTCTCTCAATTGTTTGATGTGTTCCTTCTTGATCATAAGGATTTTCGATAACCTGGTCTAAAACAAAGGAGCTATTTTTAGAATGAATAGGTCCTTAAGCAGTTTTGAAATGCCATAGAAATTCAAGATAATAAGATGTGTGTTTCTTTCATCATTTCTAAAATACATTTCTCAGTTGTTCATCAAGTTAAGGTGCAGAAATAGAAATTAATTAAAATCAAACAATGGGTTTTCCAGAGATTTTTAAACCATTTTCAAGTGCCCTAGATTGAAGAATGCTAAAAATTCAGTCGGAATTCCCTCTAGGAAGACTAGTATAATTTATGTCCAGCTAGAGGCTGAAGAATCAAGAATCTTCTTGAGTTGCAGCCTGACGGAAAGCAAAGGGTGTTAGCATCACATAGTATGATTAACATCACTCACCTTACCATACATTTTTTTCACACAGTTCTCAGCCTGTTCTCAGCTGTGCCCTCAGCAAGCACCAGCCCTTTGTGTACAGTCCTGCAGTAAAACCTGCTATAGAGATTGGATCTATTTTACACAGAACAACTCTGAGCTTTCCATTTCTCTTTCATAATGGGAATACCCTGTTTCTGCTCCTCTTGGGACCTAGCAGGCTGAAGTGGACATCACTCGGAGCGCTCTCACCACACACATCACTCCTAAAACTATTCATACTCTCTAGGGCCACGAGAGAAATCCTAGCTCTGCTACAACCAGCAACAGTTTTATTACTGATGTAAACAGAGCCAAGATTTCAGGTTTTATAAATTGCAAAGGGGTTAACTACATCCTCGTGGTGGAACATAGGACTGGAAGAAATAGGAACTTCTAGTTCAACATACATCTGCTTATATGTAATCTCCTTTGTTGATTTTCACAAATCCTGACAGAAAATTGCTCATTCGAGGACCTCTTTCAGCTAATTATGAATATTCTTGGAATTTCCATGCTAACTGCATCCTTGTTCACTTCATAGAAATTTGTTCTGCCAAAACGTTTTTTTCAGCTAAATCTAGGCTCTCCTTCCTTGAATTTATCCTTGTTTGTTCACAGACAGTAAAGCATTTCTTTACCCCTGTTCTTTCACTAGACTAATCACAACCCAAGCCTTTCCAGTCTCCTCTCCTGTAAAAGGCTCTTGATCTCTGTATCTTTTTTCCATTCACTGTCATCCTTCCTGAATGTGAGCAACAGGAAGCCTATTCCAAATGACAGACCTGTAAATGAGACAAACAGCATCAATACTTCTCTCTTTCTACCACAAATACTTTCCCAGATGCATCTTATAAACGGATGGCAAGCCATGGTCAGATGCACAGAGGCAACACTGCATAGGTTATCACTCTTCTGATTCTAGCTGCTCATTTCTCTCCTTGTGCTGTCCCCCAATGCCTGTGCTAGCCAGCACTTGCATTTTTGCAGCTATGTGAAGCACCCAATCAGGGAACCAATAGTGACAAACAATAAATCCAGAAAAGGCAAGAGAAAAAAAAAAAAAAGTGTCAAGTTGTTACTTGTGAGCTGGACTATCTCTCTGATCTAGTTTCTAACACACCACACAAATGCTAATGTTGGCAAAAAAAAAAAACAAAAAACCCACCTGGGAGAAAGGAAAGTAATTTACACCATCTGCCACTGCTGCCAGAAAGTTACTCATCAGCTCTGCTGTCATCACCATCCAGCAACTGCCTAACACGTCTAAGTCCTCCTCCTTGATGGAGCTGGTGAGTCCCCAGCTTAATGTAGAATATACTATTTGTCCCTAACACTTGCAAGGTATTTGGTGCTTAATTTCTACTTGATGTCCAGACGTATTTGAGGATGCAAGGCCCTAGTTCTCCAGTTCATGAGCTTGGATTTTATATTACATTCATTCTATTCTCAGATACACTCTGGTGATCAAGATAATCTGATTCTTCCTACAAGAAACTCTGACCTTTCACTGTATCTACGATGTCTACCAAGTTTCTCTCATTGGTACATTTTATTGAATAGACTTCAATTTTCATTTGCCAGTATCATCAGTGAATGCTATAACTCCATTCAGCCCTATTTTCCTTGTGAAATTCTTGGCTAACAACTCTATTTTCAGCATAACTCACTCTGTTTATTGTTATAGGTTACAGTTCTCATTAAACTGGAAATGAGATTTTAGTACAATGTTCTTCCACCTTAAAAGAGATGAAGGAACAACCCAACCAGTATGTTTAGATTTGTACTTCAGACTTCATTTTCAGTCAAAGGAGTATTTATAGGAACAGAAGCATTTCAAAGTAAAGTGTGCAATAACTTACTATGGAATATTTTAAAAATTTTCATAGGCACAAAACTGTCAAAAATCCAGTATCTATTTTTAGATTTTTCCTCATGTGTTTAATTTGAAAAGATAACTCCACAGTAATCAGGAAGACACCAATTCACTTTTCTGAACATGCTGCATTAATGTACTCCCTCTACTGGACATGCAGTAACCCTGCAAACAATCTGTTTTGTCCTGGGTTGTTTCCTTCCCAATCTGTTTTTTTCCCCAAAAGAAAACAAGGAGGAGGGGAAGAAAAAAAAAAACCACAAACCACCAAAAAAACCTGTAGCTGAACACTTGGAAAAACATCCACCAAATTTTAATACTGACTAGAATGCAAGAATGTAATTACCAATTTTGACCTGCAGTATAACCTGTGAAATATTTAAGGATACTTTTTTTTTTAATTTATTACTTGTTCTTGTTGACTTTATTCTTAATATCATAGTGTTAATTTTTGAGCCATTCTTCTAACATGCGTATGGTTGTCCACAGTAAAAACCAGAAAGAAGAGCAGTCTCTGATGCCAAAATGTAAACATGTAGAAATTTATATAAAGATTTAGAAAAATTAAGACTCACCAGTGTAGAACTATGATTAAAATAGTTGTTACAAGTCCCAGTGTTTGCTTACAACTGCAAGTTATACAAAAAGAGAATATCCCTAATATTTAGTTGTCAGTGTCTGCACATGATTTTGGCTACACTTCCTTTTGTTCTAAATTAATTTCAGAGCCCGTAAAAGAGAACTAAGGGGTTAGGCTGAAACCTTATTCAAGGTGTGCTCATTTTTTTTTGTTATGGCCAAAATAAATTTTTCCCAAGAAATTGTTTATTCATAGTATCATAAATAATTGCCTGGCAATAGTTCTCCAGAAAGTTTTCTTTGAATCAAAGATTTTCTATCCATTTCCTTCCTGAATCACCATTAAATTAGAATGAGGGATTTGACCTTTTTACTGTACCAGTGTATAAAGAAAGGCTAGAATATCTTTAACGGTCACCTTTAACATAAATACACCTCTGGACTGGTGAAAGCAGTGCAATCAATAATCAGTATTCTCACATATTTCACAACACCAAATTTCAGTACCATCCTTAAACTTCCAATAAAAAAGTTGATGCTTAAAATGCTTAAGATGCTAGGCTTCACAATAATGCACAGTCCTTCAATAAATATTCTTTTAAGCCTTACAATTCTTTATTGAAAACCTGGATTAAGTATTAATATAATACATAAACAAATGCCAAAAATCTGTGGTTTGATTTTGTTCAAAATCTGTTGACAATCTTCAAGCAAACATACGTATTAATGCAGTATCTTTGTAAAACACCACCATTTGTAATACAAGCAAGAGACCTATACTTTTAAAATTCATATTTCCTTATAACCTTATAAGTAATAATATACCACCAAACGTGAATGAGAAATCACATATTTTCAGATATAAAATACAGAAACAATATCATAAACAGATCAACTTGATGCACTAAATAGTTGTAAAGCTCAATACAACTTGGTTACCCAGTTTCATTGATCATACCCAGTGACTCAAGGATGACAGCTGCAGATAGTTAAGCAGCATAAACAAAGACAGTCTTTTGTGTATTTCAATTTTTAACATAATTAATCTTACAGCAACTACATCTAGTTTAAATTTTCTTAGCTAAGCTAGATGCCAAGCCACCTTTTTGAAAATTAACTTCATACAAGACATTTCCCCTAAAAAACTGAATAGATCATTCTGTCAAATAAAATCCATTATGTTGGATGGCCAAAATATTAGTGTCTTATGTGAGCTACAGACACAACTTGATTCTTTTGACCAATTACATACGCTTCAAAATTTGAGAAGCGTTTAGCAACATTATTTCTCAGTTCTTAATATATTAAACACAGATCATTGCAATCTCATTTAGCACGTTCCAAACAGGTTTCATTGATAAAGAATTCACAGATCCTAAGCTAAGCCAACACGAACAATTACATTCTTCCATCACCCTGAAGAGTAACTTGCTTCAATGAGTTTTCATATTCAGTGAATTTCAGCTTTCTAACATTACTTTTCTGTGCTCTTCTGAACTGGTACACAAAAATAATTGAGGAATTATTTCATGAAGACGAAGATATAAGATAGTTTTCTTAGTTATAACATGTATGTTTGCTTTCAGGGAAAAGAGTGATTCTTTTCTTCTCCAAGAGGGTAGTACATAACATAAAATACAATATAATATGATAATGCATGTGGGCAAATGTTCTTGGCATAATGCAAGTATATTTTAAGTTTTAAAAAAAAGTCTTAGCACAGTACAAAGTTTGCAGGTAGAAATTAATACCTTTTTTTAGACCAAGTGGTAGTGCTGGGAAAAGTAAGACACACTTTTGGAAACACAAGCCCCTCCTGCAGTCTGAAGAGCAGCGTATTTCAAAGCATACGGACAAGTGAGAAAATTAAGAAAGGGGCAGGGGGAGGGATACAACTAGATATTACCTTTTCAAAAGTTAATTTGCGTATCACCATATCTGTCATAAATCAACAGAAGGTCATTTAACTACAGAAGAATTGGCAGAATAAACACAAAAGGTCAATAAACAAAATTAATAGTTGCAGTTGACACTTACCACCTGAATGAGGAATTCTACTGGAAAGCCTCCTAGTGTTTCACTATCTGTGCCCGAAATTTTGTTTTTCCATGAAGACTGTCCTAATAAAGGATCACTGTCCTATACAAGAAAGAACATTTAATTTAATAGCTTATTTTTAGAGGGATTTGTTGAAATTTTTATTTTGTCAAATAGCCTCAGAAAATTAATCTCAAAAAACGTTTAAGGTAACAGCTTCAACATGTATCAGAAAATACTTAATATTACATGAAAAAAAGGAACTTACTGTAATTGGAGACTGGAATGAAGGTGCATAATGCAATCGGGGAGGGGTCATGAAGAACCTTGAAGGCCGTTGTTTCTGTCCAAAGGCAGCAATTGGCATGGTTTCATGAGGCTCGTTACTCTGTAAGATAGGAAAAGGAAGGATATACTTCAGCTGAATTAATTTTACACATCTGTTGGAATACATAATTTATTTCCGGAACCTGGACTATCCATGCCCATCCACACCCCCAAACCAACAATGTTAAGATTAACATCTTGCTTTTGGCTAGCAGGAGCTTCAAAATCATATTCCATTGCTGGAATTTTCAAAGTGTCATGGCATCACATCAAATAAAACCTGCAAGAATATTTCCAAAAATTTTATTGGCAAGTTGCAGACATCATAACTGAACAGGAGTTCAGCAGAGGCTCCAAACTCTGATCATGACAGAGACTAGTTCTTAGACAAATTATGGGCCCTTAGTAGATTCAACACTACAAAAGATACAAAAGAACGTGAGGTCCTCCGAAAAGCTTGCAGTCTAGGTCAGACTGTTTGGCAGGAACAATTCTTGAAGCTCCTAAGTTGGTACAAAAGCCTATGAGTTAGGAAATAATCCCAAATTGTTTGACCAAAGCAACATCCCCAACAAGTAGCTTTATTACCATAAGAAGTTTCAAAATTAGGCTCAGTCAACTCATGATACTTGTCTGTGACTACCAGAGGCCTTTCCAGACTTTGACAAAATTACAAAGGGATGGGTTTTCTTGAACATTTTCTGCAAATCCTGCCAGGACGCCAATGCAGAATTTTGTTTGGGATCTTACAGTATTTGTTATATATATCCATATGAAACCCAGGCTATTATAATAACCTATAATAGGAGGTCCAGTAAATTATTCCAGTCTGAGCCATTATGTTTTTATCACAGAGGGTTATCCTGTTCTATAAAACCATTATCAGAGAAGCTCATTCCCCTGGAATTTCCCATGCATCTGTTATTCTTGTTTCTACTTTATGACCATACCACCTGGATGTAATCCTTCGAATTTTCTTCTTTTTGATTAAAGCATACATTTGTAGAATTTTTTTATTTTATGTTACTGCTATTTTAAGAATGTGTCATTAATACTTACAAGGACTTCATAATCTGGGACTGTGTGCGTTCCAAGACCTGCCCTGTCAAAAGTCACTCTGTAGGTAGCATTAAGAGTGTCTACAGCGTCTATTTGTCCAGTGAATAGTCCATCATGGACACCTCGCAAACGTGCTTAAAAAAACAACACAAAAAAATGAACAAAGTCAAACATTATAATGTTCTGATACCATTGAGAAAAATAGACTTAATATGTCTTTTGCAAGTAATCCTTTATATATATATATATTTAAAACCCCCAGATTAAATGAAAAAAGAAAGTAAACCCAGAAAATGAATTGTACGCAATATAAATAGTACCCAAATTTTCGTCAAATTTATCTTTGGAAGTCAAGTATTTCCCAAATCTAATCCTTAGCACTACACTTATGTCTAAATAAAACACTATTTAATACCCAATACCTTCTGACAGACAGATTTTGCAGACAAAAGTCAATTTCCAGATTATTTTGCATACCATTTCTCTTTGATCACTTCCACTGATGGCTGCATATTTAGCAAAAGACAATGAGGAACACAGCTCAAGGATACAGCTCTAGGAGAGTGAGGAGAGGCAGTGTTATGCATGCCTGCTCTTCAGCAAGAATTAAGGGCAATATTGCTGAAGAACGCAAAACACAATGAACAGGAGTGGCTTGAGTCGGAGATACCATGCTTAAGTGAAAAGCATCTGGATCACAAACAGACAGGATGGAGGAATTCAAGTTTTTATATAATTAGACAAAACCTGTGGAATGTTTTTAACTATATTCCTTCTTCAGGTATGTGTAAGTTTTTTCAGTAAGGCAATGTCATGTTTAGTATACATCTCCAACTACACTGCAGTGTCAATTGTATATCTGTTTCAAAACAGCTATTTTTATATTTATAGAAAAATAAAGCTCAAGATGTATATTAGGTTAGATTTTAAACTTCCAGACAGCACTCAGCTCTTTGCATTTAAGCATCTCTCCAAGATTCGTTAGATACACTAGACAAAAAAAAAAAATAAGAAAATCTACAATTTGAACAGCAGAAATAATAAACCGTACTAAGTTTGTACCTGAAAACTGTATCACTGCTTTAAAAAAGATAGTAGCTAATCCTCACAAGTACCTTCTCAACGAGCTAACAAGTAAAACCATACAATTTTTGATGTTTTAAATGTAACTATGTGCACTAAGTTTGGTTTACTAAAATCTTTGGCAGTTACCTGTAACTTTTGTTCCTATTACAAGCGGTAATGGAATTTCTTCTGGAAGATCTTTGAACTGTGAAATATCTGCAACTTTCCGCTGCTGCAAAAGTCTTATTTTCTGCCGTTTCTGTTTTAACGCTGACCTCTCTTCCTCAAAGAATGCAGATGAACACCTATAATACAATTAGGCAAAACTATACTTAAATTCAGCACTGAAAACATACCTATGTGAAGACACATCAAGTAAATAGGCATCGTTTACAAATCAGTGAGGGAAAATGAAAAAGCTTGGGGTGAAGTGTTCAAGAGAAAATGGATTTAGACAGTCTCAGTCCCCAGAATTATCACCCCAAAAATAAGAAGTTTATTTAAAAACAATTCTCAGGAATGCTAGCTTTTTGCATTAGTATGTTAGAAAAGTACAAGTTTCTAGGACTTTTTCTGCTTATAGGGATCCACCTTGTGTCACAACAAAGCTAAAGCAGGTCCCACATCCAGTCTACTTTGAATACCAGTTCAATGCAAGTAAGGAGGACTTACTGTGAGGTCCCTGGCTGCCACTGCTTAGTGATACATAGTAGATCCCTTTCACATGTGCTCATTAGCTCAATCAAACTAACCTAGTATGAAAGGGCATCAGACTCAGAACATAAAAGGGCACTTCTCTGTCTCTTGTACTCTGCACAGATGCAAGCAAAACTCAGCCACAAAATCTCTATTCTACAGATGAATTGTTCTGAGGCTGATCACAGCAGAAGTACAAATTTGTTTGAATTTGGGCTATTGTGTAAAATCAGATCATCTCTAGCAGACCCCTCCACCATTTTGGGGGTGGGTGTGTGTGTGTGTCTTAAAATGTAATCTAAAAGATGAAAAACTTACTCCCAAGGCCCCTACTTGGTTTTATTAATTTTTCACTTTTAACCTACTGAATAGGCGTGATGCATGAAAGAGATATTGAAAGCATAAAGACATTAAGGGCTCGATCCTGTCTCTTATTTCCTATTAAAAGTTCTATCATGCTTGTGTCAATCAAAGAAGTAATTTTAAAAAAGGAGTACAGATGCTATTGTAGGCCTGCTTAATTGCAGAAGTAGTTATTTATCAAATAATTTACTAACTTTTTTTAATTGCTTTACTGGAGTCAAATGCAATTTAAACATTTTCTGTGGAACTCATACCGTTATATATTGATTACTGATTAACAAAAAGTCCTATTTTATGAGGTTATTTTAGAAGACACTGAGAACTCCTCTGCTGGTTCCCCCTTCTACACTGCAAATTTTCTGCTTTTAATCCCTTCAAAATCTTCCTCAGTTATTTATCTCTCACTCAGTACAGAGCAGCCAGCTCCTATTTCCATGTCTGCTTCTACCACTCTTTTATTATATAACAAAATAAACATTTTTATGTTTTCTTCTGTATACCCCTCACTCAGAGAGTTCCACAAAGCCATTTCACTATTCTCCAAAATTTCTCTTCCTTGCAATGTGATTGAGAAGATAAGAACTAGGCTGCCAGGATGCTAAGACCACTTTCTTTCATACTGACCAGCAGTTTCACGCTTGTTTGTCTATAAGCATACATCATTTGCCTTTTATCTTATACCTGGTTTCTAAGTTATGTGGGGCATAGACCACCTGTTTTGTCCAGCCTGTACAGTGTTAACACAGTGAGATCTTAATCCTAAGCAAGACATTAAAAAAGAATGAAGATGAATGAACTGAAGCTGTGATGTACTTCTGTCAGGTACATGCAGTAACGCACTGCACTGACTGTTCCTTTACTAGGCTTTCCAATCACTATCACTGTAAAAGTCATCACTAGTCTTTGTATGGTCTAGAAACTGTGTTCTAAATTGAGTGACTGTAAGTGCGTGTCCCACTCACCAGTTTACCACTGAAGAGCAGAATGTGTTTACCTGGAATTGTGTATTGCCTAACAATCCTCATTAGGAATTCAAAATATCTGGAAAGGGATATGGCAGAGAGAGTGATGGTGGTTGGGAGACTTACGCAAAGCTTATTTAGATATTCTTATTTAAAGATGCTGTTTGCTTTGTATGTACTACTGGGAGGAACAAGTGTGAAATAATGCTTGCCATGGACTGTGAATATGAAGTAGCAAAATGCAGGTCAGAGCTTTTAAATTCCATTGAGGAGAACAGAGTGACTAATCACAGCAAGACGAAAAAAGGCAAAAAAAAAAGCGCAATATAGACCTTAATATTAGTCCTTCTAATCATGTCCAGGGTCTTGCATCAGGAACATCAGATATTGCCTGATGTTCTTTGACCTGTGCTCTTAGAAATACAAATTCAAACGTTAACATACTAATCACTGATGTTGGAGGTCCCTACAACAGCAACTACTGTTTTACTGATAGCTCAGATATCCTTAAAACATCTCTGTTCCAAATGCTGGTCATGGATGTAGAAAGTATTTGCAACATATTTCTGGCTTCTGTTAAAGGAAATCTCCAACCTCACATCCCCCAAATGTATTTAATGATGATTATCCCATCTTTGTGCCATTCCTATGAAAAAATGAAGATTAAAACTATGGTACAGATCACATTGCAACCTCATGAGTGTTCTGTAGAGACTTTTTAAGAGGTTGAACATCCTTCTCAGTTTCTAACTCAGTCATGAGAATTTGAACTAACAGAGGAATCATCACCATCATATAGTGGCAGGACAGGCATATCTGAGTTTAATTCATATCCATTGCTATTTCACAACCCCAATTAAGTTTATACAGAGTACACAAGACTAACTGTTACCTCTTCCTTTTCTTGGAGCATATCTTTCCCCACAGTCTACTGGAATCTTACAAGCTTTGCAGGCTCCCATGAAGAATACTGTTGTGCCAATCAACCACACTGTTGATGGTGTGATAGGACATTTAAAGTAGCAGCAGACATAAGAAAATATTACAATATATTTAAAACAAAATTAAAAAAAAAAAAAAAGACAACCACGTGCACAGCTATCACACAGAGACACTATTATCCTCTGCCATCAACACTGTGGATGCAAAATGTCTTATTTTTTTTACTTCCCTCATGGGGAGATATCAGTACTGACATGGCATTTAGCTTACTTGCATACGATGAGGACAGACAGAAGAAATTTCTAACAGAATAGGAAAGTAAAAAAACTTTGCTCTAGAGGTAGATGAAAATTATCTTGAAAAAACATTCAAATTATTTAGACTAATTCAAAATCCTTTAAACTAAGGCCAAAGACCACTTTGGACATCTTGAAAAAGACTACCAATAAATGTTTTTTTTAAAAATTATTAAAGAAATGAAAAGCAAACAGGAATGCTTATTTTATGTTGATAAAAAGTAAGAACCTGTGAAGTTTTGGTTAACAAACAAAATGAGACTCTATATCCAGTCAAAGACTTGTACTTCAGAATTCAGATTAAACAACTTCCTGGCCCTTTAGGCCTGTGGTTCCTTAGGCACAAGTCTCTCTTTTTAAAAAAAACTAACTGTATGATAGCTTAACAAAAAAACCCCAAACAAGAAACAACAGTCCTTTCCCCCCACAAAAAATTAAGTTTTATCAACAGTCCAACAGACTGCTGAATGAGGCAAGCTGATCTTTTATACCGATTTTTGGTAAAAGTCAAATGAGTAAGTGATGATTTAACCTCAAAATACACCACTTCCCTGTCAGTGGCAAGCATGATGATAGAGGAATGAAAAGCTATCTCAGTTAAGCTCAAATGCTATGAACACCTTTCCAAAAGGAGGTATTTTTAAGCTGGCTCTGTCGCCTTCCCTTGACTGGCCATTTTTAGTTATGTAAAGTTGTTTATTGGTATAGGAGGTGAAATAGTCTCCATCCAACAAATATAATCTGACTCAGTACAGTGATCTATGAAATGGATTCAGTGCTTTAGTGTTTTTATTTCCATAAATAAACCTGTCTTATTTCTGCAACACTACTTACATATTTTTTCTCCTGATCTTACACAATGACAGGATGGTTGAGTTTAGGAGGGACTTCTGGAGGTCATCTGCTCCAACCCCTCCAGCAGAGTCACCTACAGGAGGCTGCCCAGGACCATGTCCAGACAGACTTTGAGTATCTCTAAGGATGGAGATTCTACCACCTCTCTGGGCAACCTGTGCCCATGCTCAGACACTTGTGCCCATTGCCTCTCATCCTATCTCCAGACAACACTGAAAAAAACCTGGCCTCATCTTCTTTATGCCTTCCCTTCAGCTGTTTATACGCAGAGATGAGCTCCTCCCTGAGCCTTCTCTTCTCTAGGCTAAATTGTATAGGTTCTGTGAAAAGGCTGAACTGAATCAGTGGGATTAAGAATTCTAAATTTGAGAAAAAACTATGCTCTTCATTAAATTCTGGCTTCTTCTCTACAATGTACAATATTCTATGGGTGACTTTCTCATCTCTCTGTTTTGGCAGGCAAGCCAGGAAAAGTCAAGGATCTACAAAATGGTTTAAAAAATACTACAATAAATGAGATGAGAATGTGCACTTGTTCTCCCCATGAAGAGCTAGTTACAACCAGAAGAAAAAACTTAGTGAAAAGTTGGCTTGTCTTCCATGCCAGGAAGCACTACAGCATAGAAGACACAATAATAATTTCAACACATCCTAGCTTGGACACTCACTTATCTAGAGCGGGAAGAGAACATTTCAAAGTATAGACTCACGAGAACTACATGGACTGGACACACTTGTTCCTTATTCCTTACACAGGACACACCTATTCCTTACACAGTGTGTGGGGAAGCAGGGTGTATGCCTAGATAAAACCTTTTCAATAAAATGTTTTACTACTCTTGGCTATTATTTTGCTTTACTACCTGCATGCAAAATTATTTTAGAAGGAACAATTCCCATAACATCAAAACTACATGTAGTTATTAGTTGAAAAGAAAGGAGAAAAAAAAAAATTACCTCCGTGGCTTTCCCATTAATCGTCTGATTTTCCCCCACTCTACTCTTGTCAATTTTCTGGTTTTCAAATTTGGAAAAGATTCTTTCAGGCATACACAGAAGTCATTGTCTCCTTCAAATAGTGGTCTGTAGAAACATAATTGGTCCTCTGTTAATGACACTTAGTAAACTTTTGTCATGAGATTCCAAAAAACATCCATCATAAGAAATACATTGAAAACAAAAAGTGTAAATTAGTCATATAAACAAGATACTCCTATCCAAAGGACAAATTCAACCTGAAATAAATTTAATTGAAAACAAAGACAGAAGGTTTCCAGGACTGTTGTTCTATTTGAGCCTTGCTGTCAGTGATGTCTAAAAATGTTCCTCTCTCTTGTTACTACAGGGAAACATACTTAATTCATCCTGCTTTGTAATGCATATAAAGGCACCAAATGAAACTTCAGCAAAGCCAGTGCAGTGTCATGAGTATACTGCAACACACTGAAGGAAACCATAAAGATATGGTGAGGCATTGAGAATAAAGCAAGAGACAATGTGATACTGAGAAACAGAAAGACAGTACCTTTTTCATAAATTCATTCAATTATAACCCAGATTCCGAACAGAGGGTTCCAACATACAGGAAATTGAGCCAAATTGTCATTCTCTACAGCTATACAGGTGAGGCTTTCATTGTATTATACCATGACTCCATGATGAAGCAGAGCATCAGTAACATCAAAGTGACAGTTCAGAGAACCTACCTACACAAATTATGAATTTGTCTCTGATGCCATGACCTGTCTGTACCTCTATGTTTCATGACTGCTTTTTACTTTGTAGTACCACATCCCTCTTGGGTTGAAGAGGCAAGGGAGCAGCAATGGATATGCCTGTCTAATAGCAGGTTAATCATTAAAGACTATGTGCATTGAAATAGATCTCACCTGGTGAGAACAAAATAACTGCATCCTGGATAAAGCCACTTTTCTCCCCTGTGCGGGGTGCTGGGGTTTAGAGGAGAATATCCCCAAGCACAGAACAAAGAGGATCCTGGAAGCAACACTGCTTTCAACTAAGTGTGTGGGGTGGCAGGAGAGGGGAAAGGTACATGGAGATAAGGAGACTCAGGCAAAAATGGAAAAGAATATGAGTTTTATTTTATCCAGATTTACTGTCACTAATGTAAGATATCTGGGTAAAGAACAACTGTTTGGGGTTTTATGGAGAAAGAGAATCTGTATTTGATTATTTTTACTATCACTTGTCCCTAAGCAGGCAAACTGTAAACCCACAGCATCCACAAGATTGGAAGCTCTGAGAAATGGTGTAAGCAAGCTACAGCTGCATCCAATTCTGAGGGCCCATGATCACTGCAGTAGTAAGTAGCTCTTTAGAAGTCTCTGTGTGTCAGAAGTCAGTGGGATTTTACAGAAAACAGTCCTCTGCAGCAGCGTAGAAAGCTGGAACAGCTTCAATAATCTAATAACCACAGATGATAGTTGTACAGATTAAAATATTTCAAAAACTTAGAGTAGACATGGCATTTAAACTGATTATTTCAATTTCAGATGAGACAATTCAATTAAAATATTTTGAGACTTGTACAGCAAGACATATTTTGTCAGTTGACAGCTCTATGCTTTAAACTTTTTTAAGGTTCTCATTGAGTCTAGATCATATCACTCAAAACAACATACATCAAAGTTTTCTTCCACAGATATGCAGTTTCCTAGTAAACTACAATATCCTAACATGATCATATCTTACTAGCTTTACAAGCATATCTTGATAACTGTCAAAGAGGTTTTCAGAATTACCTGCTAAACTCAAACTCTAGTCTACTAGACTAGACCTAAAGGTCCACAGATAATTATTTGAGAACAAACTAGGAGTTCTTGGACTGTTGTAAAAAAATCATAATTATAAGTGTCACATTAAAATTGCTACTAGCAATAAGTAGAGTTTGGGTTCTTTGTTTTGAAATAAGGGGGGGCGGGGAGCATGGACTACTTCTTTTAAAGGAATTAAATCCTACAGATGATGAATTTAAAACTAACTAAAACGGACATATAATTTTTCTACTTGTGATGAACATATCCCAGAATGTTTTCCTGTTGCTATGACTGCCTTCTCAGTTAAGGAAAACAGCCACAGCAATTGTGATTAAAATAGGAAGGAAAACCAGTAATTATTTTGTTATGAATAAATTCTGGAAAAGAATGCGTGTTAACTCTGAAGCCATTCTTTAGAATATTAAACACTAGTGTTTCATCTATTAATCAATCAGTGTACATTTTAAGAATCCATTCACCAATAATGATTTTTACATTTTAGGATTTTTAGGTTTTCATGATTAGGGACTACATTAAAATGGTTCTTTTAAACAATTCACACCACCTTGCTCGTGGCGTTAAGAGAACAAGTGCCAAAGACTGAGACACAAACTGCAGAAACCGTCTAGGAGATAGAGTAGGAGATCCAAAAAGGACACAGATACCTACACAACAGCTGAACAGTCACAACCTGGAGCTCTATTAGTGATCACAATAAAAACAGGATGATGGGGGAGAAATATCCCAAATCAACATTAACAGCTTTTAGGGAAGCAGCACCTTATGAAGAAGCAGTCTCCTTCCCATCCCCTGTGTATAACACTGATCCAAGGGTTCAAAAAAAGTCTAAGTGTTCTGATAACTTCATACTTAAGATGCTAAAAACATTTGAATAAAATCTTGTATCTGGTAGAGATAGAGGTGATAACAAGAAAATTACTTCCATGAAGGAAGGCTTTGCATAGAAGACTACCCAAGTAGGTTGCTCATTCTAAAAAAAGAGAAAAAACAAAAACAAAACAATGATATAATTTTCAATAACTAATAATTTAAGAAAAAACTTTGGAGTATCTAACCAATATATGGAAATTTGCAGCTCAGTTTCAGAAAATTACTTGTTTCTATACTAATAAGAGATACTTATATAAAACAAACATACTTATCTATATTTGAATAGAACCATTCGTATATGCACCACTTATGAGCTTTGGGAAGTTTGAGCAGGTTACGAAGCCTTAAACCGATCTTCTGTGATGCTTTCTTGTCTGGCGTTGGCATTGTTGTATTAAACTTCTATGTAGTAAAACAAAAGAAACAGTTAAGCACAGTCTAACATTCTTCAATATTCCAATAATTAAACTAGATTTTCTTGATTAGAGTTTGCACACTAATAAATGTTACATTTTAATCGCACATACCGTTTCATGACAATTTTTTTGTTGCAGATCTATAATAATCCTTACTGTTTTATATCAGCAATGCCATCAAACATAACAGAAGGCAAACTTCAGCAGCATCAATACAACAAATTATCTCTGGACAAAGCTCTTTAACAGAAACATTTTCCAACACTGAAACTACATTACTGGTAACAGTAGCATGGCACTAAAGTACACACAGACTTCAAAAGTTTGAGGCACCACTGAACATTGTCTCAAGTGAGCACATGTGATACTGCAGCTCAGATGGCAGCAACACCAACTGCCTGATTTGCACCAGTGCTTCTACTCTTGCTAACGCCTCTTGAAGTGAGGATAAAGCCAGCACAGGAGTGTAATACAGCCAAAGCTTTGAGCAGAGTGTCTGCTTTTCAGAAAACTGCAAGAGAAACTAGCATGGACATAAGCAATCAAGTTTTAACTACATTTGAAAGCGATTTTATAAATTGCAGAAGAGACACTGTCTTAGGCACTGTACTTACATGCGTAATACATAGACCTGCGTTTAAACAAGGCTGTAGAAAAATAATTCCGTAATTTTGTTCCAGGGATGGCTGTCTTAACTGACAGAAAAAAGACCTTATTTGCAACAAATAACAGCTTTTTGAGAATATTAGTTTAACTGGGTCCCCACGCCGTAATCAGTTGTTATCCTTCCCCAAATGCTCAAAAGTATTTTGACCTTTAGCAGCAGCAATAATAGGATAAAGCATAAGGTAGGCACCTTACTGGCTCCTGCTGTGCTTAACCACTACCTTCTAGAGACAGGTCCCATTTCTCCCACTGGAACTCCAGGAAACGAAGCCTAGCAGGACAGCAAGATCTGTGAGCTATGGCAGCTGCAGTCCCTCACAAATGTTTATCTAGCAATCACTGGACCTCCTGAAGCAGACATTTACGTACAAACCAACCAGGCTTAGAATATTATCCAGGCCTTTCTACTGTTAAGAAATCATGGTAATGGATAGAGAGAAAATGTCACGGTCCTCATCTCTGACCAAATGGACCCAGCAAAATGGCAACTGCTAAGCCTTCCTTGTTTGACAGTGCACAGTACAGTTCAGAAGGTAAGAAAGACCAGTATTCAAATAATACTTTTTCAGTGCGGCAAATTCAGGCTCATAAGGTGATGGTACAGAGAAGTGATTTGGACGACAAAGGAACTAGAGAGCCAATTCTTTGAGACTAAGAGATGTTGCCCTGTAACATCGCAAATAAAGGCTGAGAGAAATTACAGCTGCTCTTTTGTGCTATATCAAGGAGTAGACAGCCAAGCTGAGGAGCAGAAAAACAAGCTGTTTGAATTGGAGGACGACATCATAACAGGATCAAGAAGGCATGGATGGCCACGAATACCTTTAGGCAGAAATCTAGAGCAAGTTCCTAACTGTTGGAATACACTGAGTTCTATAGCAGGGTTCTAAATGATATAGTCAGTGCAAGAAACCTATTCAGCTTCAGTTAAAAACTGACTAAATTTATGCAGACTACAGGATATGATTGCTTGCAGAAGCACGATGGGTAATTAGTCTGGAATCTTTTCTAGCTCTGTATGCTTATGTCCAGGATCAAAAAGAACAGGTACTCCCATAAACAGAGTAACCCTGTTGTGAGGAAGAAAAATATAAATCTGTTTTGAATTGTGGCTTGTTCCTAGCAACAGCTTTCCTCACAAGAATATTCATAAACTGATAATGCAACTTGAAAAGCAAACGTATTCTAATTTTCAACTACCACAGATAGGCTTGTTCCCCTTTTTGGTAAAAATATCTGCATACACATAGGTACCTGTGGAACCATTGCAACCTTCTGATTTCTTTTGGGTGACCTTGTGTTTATTTGTCTGTCATCTTCTTCACAGAAGAGTCGACTCCGTTTTGAATTTCTGAAGGGCTGCATGTATCAAAATTAAGAATGAATTACAAGAAAAAAAAAAAATCCAATTTCTCTGTTCATGCACAGAATTTACAGTGAGAGAAATGGAATGCCTTTTCTCTTGCCACCTATTGGTTTTAAGGCACATGGTACACGATAAATAGTGCCTCCTAGCAGTTAGAGATCTAAGGGCTGAGAGAAGAGAAGAGCAAATTTAAGATTCCAGGCTTTCCAATGCTAACTATAACCCATTACTATACTGCTGGCCCAGTTCCACGGAAGTATTTAGAACCTAACTCCCACTTGCTTCCAGAGGAGTTAGGTGTCTAAACACTTGTGTATATAAGCTTAAAATAGTCCTTGCTTTGGGTGTAAGCACATCTGTTAAACAGTTTGTTCTGAATTTTGGGTCAAATAAAAAAAGCTTATTCAAACAGTGCATTGTTTTGGTATGTTCTCAGTAAAAACATTAGCCAGATACAATTTTTTAGCAAGGAATTCTTATGACTCTAATGAAGTATTGTGGCTTTGTTGTTTTTTTAAACTCATTGAAAGTGCCTACACTGCAAAATGCTAAGAAGCTGAAGCCTGAAGAAACTTAAGCTTGAATAAGTTACGTGAAAATATCAGAAGAGAAGAATTTAGAATTTATGCTACCTAAAATTTACTTGTGTGCCAAGATGTTATAGCTCAAAGGGAATAAGAAGCCTGACTGAAACAAGAAACCATATTGCAAATACATGTCATAAAAAAAATACTTCCTTTTAGTTATGCCTACGACAAAAAACTTGTCATGAGGACAAAAGAGTAACCTATGATTGGCTGTTAGAGCTGAGAGCAAGCAGCTTTTCCTTCCATGAAGACTGTGGCCCAGCACAGGAGCCAGCCACAACTGAAATGCGTCTGATCTGCAGAACCTCAAGACTGCACCCTGTAGTGTTCCTTGTATTTCAACCTATTTACAAAGGTGATGAGTAAAGGCAGAACAAATGCAGATTTCTCTTCGGTACAGATGGTGAAAGTGCTACAAACTGATATGGGTATGAAATCTATAACATCCACAATGTGAGGAATACTGATGACAAAGATAAGCCCTTAACAGGAATCAGAAACAAAATAAATCAAAGTGAAACAAAACTTCACTAATAAGCGTTTACACTTAAGAAAGGCTTTTAATAAGTTTGTGACTGATTAAAGTATCTGTCTGAAGAGATATATTCTCTATTAAATTAATTAGTGGTAGCAAAAAAATCTGTCTGTCCCATGCCGTGACAACACCTGGACCAGGGAAACGTGCCTGCCTTTCTCTAAATTATACATATTTTATAAATATAACTACACAAGTGTTTTCAAGTAACAGTAGTGCCCTGTATGTGCCACACACCTAAGCACATTCAGCGTACAGAGGAAAAACAACCATTCCTTGTAGATGTTACAAACCAGGAGAGACACACGCACCCCCCAAACAGAGGAACTATGTATCAGCAAGGTAACCCAAATGGCGCCCACATCATATTGACATAGTAATTAGTTTATCATATTAATTGTTACGGATGTTGTTTTTCTCTCTTCACCTAGATGATACATTGAGTTCTTCACATCTTCCAATTCACTGAATCTTAAGAACAATCTTAAATTTCAATTACAATGTCTTATGTTCTTTTATAACATCTCTGCCATCCTTGACAAACCATCACCCTAAAAAAGGTCAGAACTCTAACTTTTGAGCAAGAAACAAAATCCACAGTCCTGTTCCCACAATAAAAGCCCTTAATCACAGAACTCCAGGGCTTTTTAATCACAGCATTCTGCCCACAGGATGAAGAGCCAGGTTCCTATTGAACACTTGCAAATTATATTTTAGTCTTGACATTTGAGATGCTGGTTCCAGAATGACATTTTTCTCCCAAATGTCTATATAGTTCTTCTTGACTTTCTGACACTATACCAGATGAAAAGCATGTGTCAACACAGGAACACAAATGCTAAAACAATCTAGACAAAACTTAAGAGTTCCTTCAACCTTATGCTAAGGCTATGATCCAGATCAAGAGAACTGTTTTACAACCCTCAACAGAAGCTGCCAAATTCTATTCCAAGGAACTATCCAAAATGATAAGAGTGTTTCATCAGTCTGGATTGCCAGTGCCTCACACGAGAACAAAATAACAAGCGTTGCAAAGAGGTATCATCCACATTAGCTAAATAGGTCAAGCATTTTTGGAAAGATTTTTCAACAAGCAGTACAAGGTATCTGCAAAACTCCCAGTGTTCAGGAACTCAAAACTAGTACAGAAGACTGCATCACATCTCAGCAACACGGGTCACTGAGAACATATCAGGCTATCCTCTGATCTTTCTCCCAGCTATTTACAGAATACTGAGCTACATTCAAATTTTGACTTTTTATTTTTAATACCTATAGTCAGCATACCTAACAATTGACACAGTTTTCGTACAAATGTTATGTTATGGCTAGTGACTTTGGTTCTTTTGCACAGGTGATCTTCTAAATTACCAGTAAGGCTTGTTTCTGTGAAAAGATAAGCATTCCTGTGAACAGCTGAAAACTGTAACAAGAACTCCGGCAGGAATTAAGGGCCATCACAAAGTCCTTGTCACTATCTGAAACTGCATTTTGCAGACTTTATGTTCTCTAGCATAAACACATAGCAACCTATGTGTGTATATATATTATCTATCTTGGTGAATCCTAAAATAAATACCTTCTCTGTGTAATTTTCTCTTTACAGGGAGGAGATCACAGGACAAGCTACATATGACAGATGTTAGTCCCATTACTTAACGCTCTATGGATGCTGCTCAGATATTTTGATTATGTACAGAGAAGGCAAGTGTGATAGTTTTCAATCATAACGTTTCCCTTCCAATGAGTGAACAGTTCACAAAAAATGATGATTTGAATAAAAACCAGGTGATAGTTGGCAAGCTGGTCACAATTGCTGTAGAAGGTGGTGACACCAGAAGAGCATGGGAGAAAGATCTGCCTATTTCGTATACTCTTCAGGGTGCAGCAAAAAGAGCACACGATATTGCAGATGTAGACAACAAGGCACTGGGTGCAATATTGCCGGTGGCAAAACCAAACCAAAAATCACATAATTCGGTAAGATAGAGGAGGTTGAGAATAATCAAGAAAAGCGAATGTGATACAACAGGGAAAGAAGCAACAATGGAATATTTCAAAAAGAAAGAGGGAAATGGACAACACAAACACCCAACCCATGCCCTTGGAGGCTGCAGGCTCATTACCTTTCATTCCCCCACCCAGAGGTTATTCTTTAACATAAGGTCTCCTATGAGACCTCTCAGAATACTACATGACATTTCACTGACATTCCTTTATTTTTATTAAAATCTGCACCCCAGAAGGCACAATGATGGAAGTGCATTATGACATTTTCCCTTCTTTTTCTTTATGCATCAGTTCTCAGCCATAATTAGAAGTGAGATATTTCATGAGATAACACAAATGGTTGATCAGAAATGGTGATTCCAAGTTCAAGGTCGTAGCTACAGTACAAACATTTCACACAGCACTTGCTTTACAAAAGAAAGAGAGAAAATTATTACGAGCTATCTTGAACAAGCTCAGTAATTTAATTTGTTTGATTATTCATTTATAACGTATGTTTTCATCTCATATCCAAACTGTGTAGACTACTTGTGAAGGACATAGTTTAACATTTGGAAATTATGAAACTATAAATCTCAGCCAAATTTTTTGATCCTAAATTTGATTCACTTTACAGCATTTTACCAGTCCTGAAGTTGTCTTTTTATTGCTTCTTACCATTTCCACTGCAGAACCAGCATTCTTGCTTTTCCAAAGGGGTGTTTTCTGCAGAGAATTATACTTTTCATTCCACGAACTGGATAAACTTCCCTCTGTTGTGAAGAAATCATGTAATTAATATACATATATATATACACACACACATATATATAGGTTTTAACATAACTACTATCCAAAAGCTAGTATAACACCATCAACTATTAATATATTTTTATTACTTGCAATGTCTTCTTTGGATTCAGCTACAAAAAGATTTTAGATTTCAATATTCTTATTAAATCGTTCTGAACACTAATTAAAAAAAATTGAAAGAGATTTTTAGTACAAGGAGAAACTTGAACAAACTATTTTTTACTCCTCACAACTTTTAGATTTCTTGAAACCTCCTTTGCTAGAATCAGTTACATCTAAGGCAGCTGTACTGTGGCTATAACTGAAACCGGGAGAAGGTAAAGCTCTATAAGAACTGGCCACCTTCTGGTTCTAAAAAATGATTAAGTGGGGGCACGCCAGCAAGCAAATCAAATTTAATTGAAACAAACCAATATTAGTTACAACACATTCAACAGACCATGTCTTCTTCCTTGTGTAATAGGAGCCTTGTAATATATAAAGAAACTTTTATTGTTGGACAGACTATAAGCATTCAAAATTTGTACGAATATTCATGAAGACAACTTCAAAGAAAAAGATACAAGAAACATATTATTGATTTAGCCCACATCTTGCTGATGGAAAACACAATGAGACTGAAATTCCTTCCTAATGTAAATTTTGTCACATGTACAGGTCTCACTAAGAATCCTTCTCTTATCTCATCCTCAAGAGAGGAAAGATTACCTCAATCTTCTCATCAAACCTGACGCCTAGGCAGTACTTAGGAAGAAAAAACACATTTCAAGAATTTTACCCAGAAGAGCAGTGTCTAAATACACCACAATATATGTAGTTTCAACCACCAAGGATTATTAGTCTACAGAACTAACAAGTATCCACAATGAAACCAACTATATTTCAACAAAACCCCTTCTTTGGTGTTATTTTATTGAACTTTTTGAAGCCAGAAACTAAGTATACCTGAAAGTCAAACTGGGTACAGGTAAATAACACATTAATTTCTTACCTTTCAAGCTCACAAGTGCTTTTGCTGAAGAACCTGCAATATATCAAAAAGTCCACATAAATCATAAGTTATTTCAAACCATACAACCTCTGCACAGCCTACTCATTCTTAATTAATTCTTAGGCAGAAAGTGGAATTTAATATTAAGTCTTTCACAGCTGAGTGAGTGAACCCAGTGTGCCCTCCATGGCACCATGTATAGCATTATAAGTTTATTACCTAATAAATCTTGAAGGCATATTCATGTTTTGTTTTTTCCTTTAGTTTTACATCTACAAAACAGCTTCAGATGCTGAGCACTTTTGTTTAACACAGCAAATTCTGAACAAGCTTTATGTCCAAACTACATACTTCCATGCAGCGGCTTGTTTGATGCAGTTGCAAAGATACAACTGACAAGGAAATGGTAACGACACTTCTTCCTCTTTCTTTTAATACTTTCTACAAATTCTTCAATGCCAAAAATTTCCACAAAATCAGTAATTTATGCTCTTTAAGCTTGGTTCGCAAGTAGGGAGATGGATAGTTAGTTGCCCCCTGGTGGAACCTCCTTATTCAGAAAGGCAGCAGATTCACATATTATAAACACAGACAGGACCCTTAGTTTGTTTGAACTGTTCAAACTGTGTAATGCATCCATCAACATTTCACTGCTCCCCTTCTGCTGCATCTGTAGGACCTCTGCATTGCTTCTGGGCCAGGAAGGACAAAACTGGGCCTGACTACAGCCTTCATGCTCTGGAATTTTCAAACGTCTCTCTAAGAATGAGCTGTTTGAAGCAACTACATTAGCAGAAGGGAATGATATTTCTGCATGACAATGCTTCCCCAGATTGATCCTTGTCTCTCAAATCAACTTTACCTTTCCAGTTATGTTCCCATGTTGCAACCACTCCTTCTTATGTTGCATCCTCTTTTCCCCTTCGCTTTCCCCACTCCCTCCTTTGGCTTCTCTTTGGAGCTGCTGTTCCAAGAACATTTCTGACTCCAAAGGTCTGGAAATCCCTTTTCTTGTGGCTTCCCTGTATCTAGGTCCTAACACCACTAATTTGACAGTGCCAGAGATCCTTGCCTCTAAGAGGATACATTCCAGGGAATATCACAGAGCCAAAAAAATAAGTTATTGTCCCTTTCCAGGGGAACAGGGTATTTTGGCTTGGGATGGACTGTTGAAGAGAATACAGGTGCAGCAATGGCAAAAAAACCACCTACATTCCTCATTTTTTCATCATAGTATTGTGTTTGCTGCCATCTTATGATGCCATGTGTTAAAAAAAGTTCTATAAAAAAAGAAAAAGAAAGTTTCTATTATTAAAAAAAAATTTAAAATGTTTAATATGTGAAATAGAAGTACTTTTGACTCACTGGTGGTTTAGAGGGCCTCCACACCCTCATATCTCCCAAGCTCTTCAAATCTACAACAGTTAACATATGGGATTACATGTCAAAAACAAGGTGATGAACCTGGGCTGTACTGTTGTCCTTCTTGCACATTTCTGATACATCACCTTTCTTGGGTTGGAGGCCTAACAGTGACTGGTACAGGAACATGCTTCTATGATGATCTGATTCACAGTGAATTCAGCTCTTGTAACTAAGATGTACATTAAAGGTATCACAGGATTAAAGCCTTTGCTTTTTTTTTTTTTTAATTTCATACTAATAATCAGAGACCATATACTGTGCTTGCATAAATACATGGTACCCTGCTATCAACCGAGAATGAAGTCCTGAAAAGTAAGAACAGTGAAGAACTGGTGTCCCCCCCAAATTAACATCAAATATGGTGGGAAACACGTGCAGGGATTAATAAGTAGACGCGTTTCAAGAACATGGGGCAAGTACATGTCTCAGTGGATGGAGAGGCAGAAGCAGGGTCATCAGGACTGTCAAATGGAGAAGATGCTGGCTTTTCAGAATGGATCACTATCGTGAAAGATCTCAAAGCACTTCATCTGTAAGACCGAACGTACAATCATTGCCCTCTTTTTCTGACCATCTTGCTCATATGAATACAGTTCAATCAATTCAGTCAAGGGTGAGTATGCCAAAAATGGAAATGAAACCACTCAGCAAGAGGCAGCAAAGCTTTATATTGGGGGGTGGTGTCAATCCACAGCTGAAGTGCCTGAGATCCTTTGCTAACCACCAAACTTGGATACTTCACCTGCGAGAGTGATGATGGGCCAGCAGAGCAGGACATTAGATAACTGGCATCAGAAACAACAGCTGGAGAAGTGATGGACAGCAGAATGTTACTGCGCTACCTTCTAGCTTTATAAGATTAACACTCCAGAATAGCATTACTTGCCAAGGACTTTTCCACATGGGATAGTTAATCTTCAACAGATGCATGCTAGAATAAGGCTGCTCATTTGTTTTCACTTAACCTGCAACTAAAGTAATGTAACCAGAAAAGGGCATCTTTGTTTAGGAAGATAAGTTTCCAAATAAGAAATTCCTGACCTAGGCAAGTTCAAAGTTAAACTAAACTATTTTAATGTAGCAAGTTGCAGAAAATTATTAACAACAGCACTTCTGTAGTTTAAAGCATTAGAATACACGTAATATATCAAAATGACAATGGAGATGTCTATAAGCTTAATTTTACCTTAAAGGCAACGATGATACATGGGTTTTCTTGTCAAGTTCTTCTATATTGATTTTAGGGGCTACTTGCAACACCATCAAACTTCAAGGAATACAGCACATCTCCCTACTTTTTCCATTTAGTTTGGCAGTACTGTACATCCTACCGGGGCCACAAAACCAGAAACTAGGATGATCTTCTAAGCAATAATGAGTTACAATAAAAAACAACCAATATTTAATACAGATAAAAGTATGTCAAAAACTATAAAAATTGCAAAGTGATTCAGGATAGATTAAGTCTATTAAAACCATCCAAAATTTTAGTTAAAATAAATATTAGATTTATAATATCCCAGCCTCACATTAAATGCCAGTAATTTTGTACACTCCTGTTCTGAAAAACAAATATATAATCATAGGCAGTCTTTTTAACCAGCATTCTAATTATAAACATAGAGATTAAAGTAGAATATACACACATGCTTGAACGTAAATACCTATTATGACAATGACACAGGTTTCATTTCTACAAACATCAAACACTTAAAAAACAAGTGGGTGGAAACGAAGAAATAAGGCCTATGCATCATTTAGGGTATTACAACCAAATCTACTTCCAGCTCTTCTGGGTTCAGAGGATCACGGAGGTAACTTTCGTAACACTGAAAGTAAAAAAACTCAACCTAGGGAAGACGCGCAGCCAGCTCAGCACAGTGGTGGCTCAGGAATTAGAAGGCCTGCTTTCAGTAGCCTATGCCAGCATACTACTCCAGTGCAAACTGCCCGATTGGCATAGACTTGTCCTGGTATCCTACTAAGTACTGCTTTGCCTATGTTGTTAGCAAATTAATTACTTGAACACAGTGTTCACACTTGACTAACTTTGAAAAACTAGAAAAGGATTCAGAACAGAGCTAGGAGAAAGATCTAAAGATCTAAAAACATGCCTTATTGCGAGAAAGTCAAGACATTCCAATCTTGTTCTTCCCAAAGAAGGTCAAGATCTGCACTGATCACAAGTATCTACAAAGGAAGATAAGTCAGGCAGTAAATAGCTCTGCAGCCTTCTCTTACAAGGAATGGCATAACTAGATCTATTTGTCAGAAAATTACATTGGATAAGTTCAGGTTAGCAATGAATGCAAAGTTTAACAGATTTTATGTAACTATACTAAGAAAGGGCATGTCGAGCTCCCCGTCATTCAAAATCTTTAAACCAAGTTTACATCTATTTTTAAGTAAAAAACTATAGCTAAAAAGGAAGCACAGAATTGATGCACAGAAATTACAAACACAAGTGTCCTAGCATGTTCAATGAAGAATGCAACACGATTATAATGGCCTTCTATGGCCCTAGGAAAAAAAACAATAAATCTGTAAAATACATGTACCACAAGTGCAGTAAAAATAATTGTGTGCTAGATTATGAGGCATGTAATAGCATGATATCAGGAAGCTCATTAGCAACTAAGAGTCAGGAATAAGTGTATTTATGTATTTTATTACACTTGCAAGAAGTGATTTTCAGGAATTTCATGTAAAACCGAATAAAAAAAAATCAACATTAAAATAACCTCAAGTCCATCAAGTCTAGCATGATAAGGACCCTGATGTTTTCATGCTAGGCCAGCTAGAAACCAGAACTGCTTCAGTGGCTGCTGCTGCAGGGTCTGGCGGATGGACAGCTCCTCGCATCCTCAACCGCCACTCTCCCTGTGCCAGCGCGGCCGCCAGGAATAGTTCCTCTAGCCCCAGCCTCCTTCTCCCAGAACAAGGGAGCGCGTACAGAGGATTACCATGAAGAGAACCTAAAAAGCCTCCTCCAGCTGCTCAGCAAGCAGTGTAAACAGACTTAAAAAGGAACTCTTGACAGTTTGCCCTCCAAAAAGTATTTCTGATGTGGAGATAGGCTTTGAGGCATTGGAAAAAAAAAATATGCAAAAAGCTTTTCTCCTTTTCAAAAATTAAAGTTGGGTTTAAGTTTAAAAACAAGCATCTATTGCCTCCCCTCATTTGAAAATACTGTAACTGAAGAGGTGGAGTATGACTGCAATTCGATACAGGCAGTTGTGGATGCCCTGATGTATAAGCAAAGCAGTTTAAATACAGCTTCTCCACAGCTGATCTTGAAATTTAAACAGGAACACAGACAAGCACATTACATTTGTGAAAGTATTTTCAGATTTTTTTTTTTATCATGAATTCATAACAGCTGATTACAATTTTGAAAATAAAGGTCATAAGTAACTACAGAGATGTTCCATCACTACTGATTTTACTAATGTGTGGGCACAAAGGGGCATATCTAAATCAATACTGAGAATTCTAGGATCCAGATAAGCAATTACATAATGTAAAACCTCTCCTCTTCAGATCATTACACTATTTTGTCTAAATTCTGCACAGGTGAGCAGTTATTTTGACATTGGTTGCATGACTGCCTCAAAAACCTATGTCATTAAGCTACATCACCGGCACTAAAAATGGCATGACAGAGGAAACTCACACAGAAGAAGGGAAAAACACGAGCTTTTATTATAGATTGAGTCATTAACCCTCTGAGAGATCATTCATCTACACAAGTACGGCACAAGTTGTTTCAGCAGAGGAAGCATCTCAAACGATTGGCCACTAAGGATAGCTTATTCAGGAAAGCTTGGAAAGTAAAAAGCACACATCAGAGGAAAAAGTGGCGCTGGGTAGCTTTTAAGCTCCCCCAAAACTTCGGGCTTGTTGAAGAGGTAAATAAATAAAAAAACCTAACAATAACTTTTTGCTTCAAGCACGAATCAGTATTTCCCTCATGTTATGAGCCCACTAATAAACTGACATTTGTGTATTCCCAAATCCTAATTTAACTACTGGACACAAGTCAGTTTTTCAGTCATGTGAAACCTTTTACAGGACTTGTGCAGACAATAAGCACAATACCAAAGCCCTCTTTTTGAAACACCATGTTCTCATGATGGACAATACACTGATACCATGGTAACATACAATTTTGAAGGTATGCAGCACAAATGATCCCAAAATTATTAGTTGTGGATACTATTTAGCAGCCACGAGACTAATCTTGAGCCTTCTCCCAAATGCTGTAATCTCATATAGTTCTGCTGATTTTTTGCCTCAAATGTCCAGAGCACAGCGGTGGCCCCTCAGGACTGGAAAATGAAAGTGGCAAGTCCAGAAAAGCGTCAGAGCAGAGCAACTGGCTATGCAGGGGCAGGGTGCCTGTGAACCACATTAAGGGTAAGGACAATCATTTCTGCATGAAGTGCTGCCCTTATGCTGCAGCATCCATCCATGGGACAAAAGGCCATGCAGAAAGATCCTTCCCTTCTCCTGCCTGTGCTAAAACACAAGCCCCTAGAAACAGTACCAGCAACGTCTACCAATATATGATATTTGGCAATATATGACTGTTTTCAGTATTTGTACTGTAAAAGGTTAACACTTTGACACCCATCACTACTACAGTCTGGCTTTGTGCTTCAATTCACCTGCCACTTGTTGGCATTTGCCTACGCACAACACCGAAACACTGCACTCCGCAGTAGCTCAGCAGTTTACTCCTGGTGGCAGCCCCGTGCTGAGGACAGTTTAGTTAGCTGAGCATGCTTTCACTTCTGTCAAAAATGGCATCTCACTCTCACTTTTACAGAGCTGATTCCAGGCATCGTCCTCATTCAGACTCGCTTGTAGAAAAGAATGCACCAAGATGTAGCTTTGCTTGTGCTGTTGTCCGCAGAGCTCTGCCTCTACCAGGAGTAGGACAGTCTTCTAGACACATTTGCACGTTGCCTGTTTTATAAGTCTTGCCTCAGTTTTACTGTGTGCACTTTAGAACTGCGTAATAACCCACAAATAAGATTGCTATTACTAGTAGCAAGAGACGGGGCAGCATTACGTACACTCCAATACAATCAACTGTTTTCCTCTTAACAGAGGAAACAGAGAGAGGAGACAGAGAGAAATAGTCATCTGGTTTGCAGCAGTAAAACTGCCTGCCGTTTACCTCCACTGCAAAATTACCAGGAGACAAGAGGTGGGCAAAAATGCACTGACCAAAATTAGTCACTCATTGGGCACCAACCCAACAGTCTGCAGAAACAAACCTTGTCTCCAAAATATAAATCCAGTTTTTAGCATTGGAAGTACTTATGCAGTTGGGACCTTTAATATTCTGGAATTTTTCTGCTAGAGGATTTGCCACAGAATTGTTCTTTCTTCACAGCACTTTGCTCCATCCCAGGTTACTATATCCCTCTCCCCTGGCAGCACTAGTAAGAAAAGGCCTCAAGTACAAGAAATGCATGTAAACTTACACACTGCCATCATCCTCATTTTTTAGGTGGTCAGTGTGAACTCTCTTATCCGTGTCAAAAGGACAAAATGTTAACTTTAGAGAAGAATGGAACAATAGTAACTCTAGCAGACAAAACAAGTGCCTATTACGAGACAACTACGTGCCTTACATTCATCTTCCTCCTGAGTTAAGGAATATTCACTGCCCAGCTGCATTACAGAACTTGCCAGAGGGCAAGTAGGTGCTATCAGAATACTCTGGGACAAATTCCACTTAATCAGATTTCCAACTTGAAAGTGAAACTGCACAGTTCTTACCACACTACAAAACGTCAGTTTTCTTGTCACTGAGTATGCTGTATTTACTTATAATTCCTTTTACATGAAAATGCAGTTATGATCTACTACTTTACCATAAACTATGCTGGAGAAAATTCACAAGGATGATACATAAACCTGAAAGTATGTTAGTCATGAACTATTCTAACTTTTTTAGGAACTTATTTTCACACCACTATGGGAGATTACAAAAACAATTTTGCAATGCTTACTGTTATTATCCCTTATAAATTAAGTTGCAGACTGAAAGCTGCATGAAGTCAGTGTTAAATCAGTCAGGACTAAGTTTACATCTTCATTTTAAGTAGAGGACTGGAACTGCAAGAGCTATGTGCGGCAACAGTTACAGTGTAATTTGAAAACATCCAGTTCACCAAAATTGGAAAGAACAGGAATGGAAGCAGAAGGCAAACATTCTTTGAAACTTTCACATTTCTAGCAGTTCACCAACACTACAGAAAACACGAAGCTCCCTATTTGATGAAAAACCAAAACATCCCTTACTTGCACCAAACTTAGGTAAATACAAACCTTAGGGGCAAGGTTAGCACAGTGGAAGCCTATTACCTTCGCAAATACAGGCACTATGTGTCTTCTGCTTCACCTGCTGAGCAGATACCGTA